GATAAGAAGCCTTATTACCTATTATGGCTATCCCAAGTGTTGTTGAGTCAACCAGTGCGGGTGTTACTACTAACATGGTGGAGAACCCGCTGGCTGAGCTCCTTGAAGTCCTCGGTATTGCTGAACCCTCACTACTACTATGGTTATCTGCCGCTGAGTTAGAGACTGCCATGGAAGGCCAACCTCTTAGTAAGAAGGTCTATCTACGACGTACCTTCTTCACCTATATAGACGCCGAAGGCCGTAACTCTCAAGCTGCAAGCCTCTCTCGAAGGCCAGCAAACACAGTACATCCACAGCAGGTTACATCTTCTGCTGCCACTGTGCAGGTCTACCCTCAAGGAGTGCCCCAGGCCCCTCTCATGCAAGGTCAACAACACCCTTCTAACAACGACATCACCAACGTGGCGTATTGGTGTGATCTATCCCACAACTATGATAAGGAGAAGGCGCTTGATACAACGAAGGCCATCAATGCTGTTTCCCATATCAAGTGCCCCGACAACAAACAGTACAAGGGAAACTCTGATAACAGGAGTATCAACTACTTCCTGAGTCTTATCCGCTGCGAAGCAAAACAAACAGCGCTGGGCCCTCGATTATCGTACATCTACCTATCCAATTGTCTTAGCCAGTCGGTCAAGAGGAACTTACAGATCCACTTGGAAACTACTATGGACCCCACTCTCTACTTGAACGACTATGTTCTGACACTATCACAAGCACTTGGCTACCTTCAACATAAGTACTCTCTGTCGAATTCACATGCGGAAGTCATGAGATACTTCTCTGACGTCAAGATGGACAATGGTGACATCAACATTTACGATTACCTCGACCGTATCGAATCTGCTGTTGCTATGTGTGCGAGTGTTGGCCTCCATCTACAACCCAGTCAAGTCAACCTACACTATCGTGAAGGCCTCCATCCCACTCTGAGGAAGACTGCAGACGAGAACTACGCGGCCATCGATGATGTCCAACAGCTTACGCAAGCCCTACGTAGCCATATCCGCTGCAATCCTAAGCTCTACATCAGCATTGCTGATTCAGCAATACTAATTCAAACAAGGCACCTCCGGTATCAACTGCTACCCCAACTAAGGCTCCTAATCCCAAGCTGCCTAGGCTTGAAGACCCCGAGACTCTCAAACTCTGTCGAGAGCAAGGGATATGCTTGGCCTGGACAGCTCGCAGGCAGTGCCGCTATGCTGATGATTGCAAGTACAAGCATAGTGACGTAGCCCGTTTACTACAACACCAAAAAGATGACTATCACCTGCCTCCTGGTTCTGACATGGTCTTAAGGTCTACTTTCTGTGCCGACAACAACTTCTTCATCGTTGGTGACACTGGCTGTACAAGATCTATTATATCTTGGCGACTTGCGACGGCCTTACTACAGCACTATCCTGACGGCCAACTCATTCCTTGTAAGCTCTCTTTTGATACTGCAACTACAACTCGATCTATGAGTTCACTCTACCAGCTCAAGATCAACTTTCCCATCTGCGATGGAAACCATCAAGTCTCAACATTCACATGGTCGCCGTCTATCATGATGATAGTATCATCAACGACGGACTACTACTTCACTCTGATGGACTCCTCGGTATGGATACCCTTTCGATCAACGCCGACGGTTTGCTCATCAACATCAATGGTTCATTGGTTCAAGCATCAAAATTTCTTTGTAGCTCTCATTCATTGGATAAATATCGGTCATCAGGCATCACGTCTCCGACATCCACTACGAGCCCAATCGGTTCATCATTGTCAGAGCTATATATTTGCCCAACAGCCACTCCTCCTCAAGGTCCCAACCGGTCAACATTCGACTGCACGACCTCCACTACATCTGATCTATCTACGCCTACTTCATCAACGGCATCATCAGATGACTCTATCGAAGGCCATCATATCGTCGGTCTCAAAGGCAAGGCCTCTAAACAAAACTCGGACGACGCTATCTCCTACGACGTCGATTCACTAGGCGACACACCACCTACATTCCCCAAACCACCCGAAGACTACCAACTACTCGAG